GCCCCCGCCTCACCCTCCCCCCTGCCGCCGGCGGCCGCACCCCACAGGCCCGCTCGCGCTGCTGCGGGGCGTCGCGCCGTCCATGCTGCGGGAGGCGACCTACTCAACAGTGCGGTACGGCGCGTACGACCCCATCAAGTCGTGGCTGCAGGCGTCCGCGCTCGGCGCGGGATACACGCGCAGCCACGGCCAGCAGGCGGCGGCGGCGGCGTCCAGGGGCGCCAACGAGACGCAGGCGATGCCCATGAGCTTGAAGATCCTGGCGGGCGGCATGGCGGGTGGGTTTTCGGGGGGCAGGAGATCAGGGGTGTATCCGGTTTGAGGTGGTTCGCGGGAGTGAGGGGTCGTCCGCACGCGGCATAGCAAGCGGTTTTTTTGGGGGGGTGGGGAATTAGCCGGCTGCTGTGGGTGCCGTGGGTGTTTTGAGCAAGGCCCGCGGCAAAACAGGCTTACTGGAGCGGCGCGCCGCGGCTTGGTGCGGGCCAGGTGCAGCGGCGGCGGGACGCAAAAACAGCGCGAGAGCGAGCGTGGTGTTTGGTGGGGGACGGGGGGGGGGGGTGAGCATCCACGCCCATAAAACAATGGGTGGGGCGAACAGCATCTGACCTCCCGCCATTGCCGGCGCGCCAGTCGCTCCAGCTGCATTCCGCGCGGCCCCGACGCAAGTCTCGATTGGCCGCCGCGGCGCACGCACGCCTGCCGCTCATCCGACTCACCCGCGCAGGCGCCCTCGGCGCGGCGGGCGCGACCCCCAGCGACCTCATCAAGGTGCGAGCCCAGGCCGCCGCCGCCGGCGGCGCGCCCCCCGCGGGCCTGTTCAAGACGGCCGCGACCATATACGCCTCTGAGGGCGGCCTCCGCGGCCTGTACCGCGGCATCGGGCCGACGACGCTGCGCGCGGCGATGCTCACGGCGACGCAGCTGCCGGTCTACGACCACGCAAAGTATGAGCTCACGACGCAGCCCGCGACGGCGGCATATTTCACTGAGGGCCAGGGGCTGCATTTCGCGTGCTCCATGGTGGCGGGCGTCGCGTGCGCGACGGTGGTGGCGCCGGTGGACTTGATCAAGTCGCGATACATGTGAGCGCGGGGTCGGTCGAGCGAGGGTGTGGTGTATGTGTGTGAGGAGTGCTCTTTAGTGTGTATTATGTCCTGGACGGTCTGGGATAAGGGGTTGGCGATTGTGTGGGTGTGGGCTATGTGGAGCCTGAGAGCGCCCGGTCAAGCCATGCAAGCACGTCCTCGCCGCAAGGCACGCACACGTGCACTCACGCCGCACCCCTCGCCGCCTGCAGGAACCAGCCGGTCGACGCCGCCGGGCGCGGGCTGCGATACCGCGGGATGCTCGACTGCCTGTCCCAGAGCGTCAGGGCAGAGGGGGTCCTCGCGCTGTGGAAGGGCCTGCTGCCGAGCTGCGCGCGGCTGGGACCGCACACGTGCATCTCGCTGCTGATTTTTGAGAGGTTCCGCTACATGGCTGGGCTGGCTCCAATTTGAGGCGTGTACCACAAAACTTGCACCGTGAGTCCTTGCTGTGATTGCTGCCCTATCTGGGTATCTGGGCTTGGCGTGTGTGCCACAAGCCGCTGAGAGGTCCACCGGGAGAGGGCTGAGCGGGTAGACAGAGCGTTTCAAGCACTTGCATGCACCTGCAAACGCTTGGTTTCAAAAATGATTTCCGGGCCCTCTATGACTGCGTGGTGCTCACGTGGCCGCACCTCAGCTTAATGTGTTGGGTGGGATTCTTGGCGCCCTGTGGACAGGTTTGACCATTTCGGTCCTTTGACCCTGCGTAAGGGTGCGCCTGCGAGCTTGGCAATGCAGATCTACTTGCGTGCTGCCATGTGAACCGAGCTACCTGCATTTCACAGGCTGCAGTGCTGTTATCATCCTGCATAAGACCGTGGCAGGCTGGCAGGCAGGGGTCGTTGGAGGACGACTCGTGCCTGCAAGGCAACCTGCAGCCACGGGAGCATACGCAGCGCCGCAGTTGTCAGTTGCTGATGCAGGGTGGGTGCATGTGATGTACCATAGCCTTATCATATTGCAATTAGGATGCTCAGTAGGGCACACATTGGGCCCCTGCGGTGCAGCTGCTGCAACGATCTGATTTGCCCACAAGCAGACCTCCGACTGTACCAGATAGTACAGAGCAACGGTTTTCGTGAAAAAAATATTGTGTAGCCTGCTGTGAGAGCTCGAACCTCGAACCGGCACCTCCCGGCTGCTTGTACAGTGTGGTGGACGTCCCTGGCGAGGGGTAGAGCGGGACTAAACGCGTCAAGGGCGGATAACAAAGCGCACAAAGGCGTTCCCACTGGCGTGGTGCCGCTCAGTGGCGCGAAAAGCGCCGGCGGGTGCGCGCTGAACTCGACACCGGGGTGAGATGGTGTTGGTGTGCGAAGTGCCCGTGGAGTCTGGGTGCCAAGCTGCGATGGATGTTGGCGAGGGCGCGGCCGTCCAGCAGGGCCGAACACACTCGCCGGGGCCCAAGGGCAAGGATGCGGCGCCGCTCGGCGTCAGCGGCGACAGCGCTTCGAAGCCCGATCAGGGCCAAAGCCAAGCACAGCCGCAAGAGCAGGGGCACGACGCACGGCAGCAATGGCAGCAGTGGCAGCAAGAGGAGGCGGGCGGCACCCCACGCGCGACCCGTGGTGCATCGCCTGCAGCCGACGGGGCTGCGGCGACAGCAGCGGCCGACGCGCCTCCGAGTGGCGAGGGCGATTCGGCCTGTGCGCCGGACGCGGAGCGGCCGTCAGAGGGCGGCTCTCCAACCCACAAGCGCCAGCAGCGGGCGTCTTCAGATGAGGGCGCCGAGCAGCACCACGCAGCCAAGCGGGCTGCGGCCGAGGAGGTGCGCCGAGTTTGCGCCTGGGGCAGCGTCCCTGCCTTTCAGGGCATGCCGTGTGGCGCGAGTTGCAGTTGAGGCGTCCCTGTGTGCGACTGAGATGTCCACAAAAGCAAGGAGCGGCCGTTTTGTGTGGGGGCGCTCGGTTACGCTGAACTGCACCATGCTCGCACGCACACAGCCACAGGGCGACAGCGGCGGTGCGCCCGCCCCTCGCCGCTCCCCCAGCCGCGGCGTGCTGCTGGCGAGTGTCTTTGCGCAGCCGCACGTGCAGGCCGTGCTTCCCGCCGGTGACATGCTGGGCAATGACGACGCGATGCTCCCGCCGCGGCAGCCCCAGCAGCCGCAGCCACAGCCGCCGTCGCAGCAGCAGCAGCAGCAGCAGCAGCAGCAGCAGCAGCAGCAGCAGCAGCAGCAGCAGCAGGAGCCGCAACCACAGCAAGCTCCTGAAGGGCAGGGGCCGCCGGCGGGCGCGCAGGGGCAGCAGCTGGACAGGCGGGCGATGGGATCTTGGTCCTCGGGGTCTTTGCCGCACGCGGCGATGGAGGCGCTGCCGTCGTCGGGAAGTTTGCAGGGCTGGCTGGGCAGCGCCCCGTCAGCGAGCAGCCCAATCGTGCGGACGATCGACGGCAGCGGGAGCTTCCGCAAATGGATCAGGTGGGGCGCGCGCGTTGGGACGCGTGTCGTCGGACGCAGGCTTGTCAATCATCGCAGGCCAGATCAGTGGGTTGGCCTCGGTAAGAGGGGAGGCAGGGCGGGGAACTGGCAAGAAACGTGGGCAGCGTCAGTGGCGGCAGCACGTTTTCAGCTTCCAGCAGCTTAGCGCCGCAGCCGGGCCCCCTTGCATGGCGTCCCCTCACCCCTCCCCATCACACAGGTCTGAGAACAGCCTCGGGAGCTTCACGCTGCCGACCGCGTTTGCCAGCGGCGGCAGCGCCAGCAGCGCCCAGGCCTCTCTTGAAATTGAGGACTCGCTGCAGCTGGATGTGCAGCTGCTGCCCCCCGTGGTGCCCGAGGAGATTCCCGCGGACGAGGCCGGCGAGGCGGCCGTCGCGGCCGCGGAGCGGCGGCAGTGGGAGCGGCGGCGCGTGCGGGAGGCGGAGCACCAGCGGCAGCTGCAGCAGAGCGCGTCTGCGGCCGCGATCGCGGCGGGGGAGAGGGCGTTTCATGCAAAGGTTGCCGGGTGGGAGGACGAGCTGCTCGGCATGCTCCAGACGCAGGTGGGCCCTCGCCGTTGCTGTGACAAGACCACATCACATGCCGGCTTGCACCTATTAAGGGGTCATTGGGCGACGCATGGGTCAATCCCGACTTGCTGCACGTAGACATGCGATTAGCACATGCCACAGGCAAGGTGTCCACTTGCGGACTTGCCTTCTGTTTGCGACACACCTCGCGTCCCCCCCTCGATGGCCCCGCCCCTGTTCCTTATCGCCGTTTTGAAACTACCCGCCGACAGATGGTGCCCATAACGATCAGAGCTGTGGTTCAGACCTTCAAGGACAGGATCCACACAGAGAGGGACAAGGCGGAGTTCAAGGCTCTGTGCGACAAATACACAGTGGTGAGGTGCACTCAGGGGTGCGCGGAGGGGCTGGGGGCTACAGTAGAGGAAGTGCAGGGCGATTTGGGGTGGTCAGCAACCACAATAATCTGATGATAGCAAAGGATTTGACGGTTGCGAACGTGGTCGGCTCGCTCTCAGAATTGCATCGCACACAACACGAGTGTGCGAACACCAGCTATGTCCTCGTAATAATCGACGCTGGCCCCAGCGATGTCATTCATCCAGCCACCCACCCACCTTGGCCCGCATTTGCAGGTGGTTGAGTACCCTGCAGAGTCGGGTGTCAAGTGCCTGGCTCTCAAGGCCTGGCTGCAGCAGGGGGAGGAAGGCGTGTGAAGCCCAGGAACTTTGCACGGTGCTAGGGACTGCAGTTGAAGTTGAGGCTTAATTGCCAGGTTGACATCAGAATAATGATGAGGTTATCAAATGGTTGGTGTTCATAAGTGACGTGGTCATAGCTCCAGTTGGATGTTTTTCCTTGCATAGCTGGTTGCAACACCAACCCGTGCCGGTGCAACCCATGCATTTCTTCGTATTGACTCCTTTTTATTGTGCAAGGTCATGGCTAGTTCTGTTCCTCCCCTCTTGGGACCGCTGCAATGCGGACACTAGATTCCCCACCCCCTGCAGCAGCCATGTGTGCTGGTATGTTTTGGACAAAGCGTTGTAATTGGTCACTGTTATCCTGCCCTTCATCCTGAAACTGTAGTTTGCCTCGCCCCCTTCTCATAGTCATGCATGCTTGTGGCGTGTTGACCATGCGCCCCACAACTGGGCAGACAGCGCTGCACTGAGACAAGGCGCTGAGTTTGCTGTGCGCACCACTGACATCGTAGACCGTTGCATATCACATTATGCAGACGAATGCTTTGCTGGCCATTCTCCCATGACCATGCCCATGACTCAGTGATTGCGCGTTTGACCTCGCTTGTGAGCAGCTGCCCAAAGCTGCGTGCCTCGAGGCATGTTATATCAGAATACCGATCGCAATTATCATCTCAATGTCTTATACCTCACATGCACCATCCGCCTTCACGCAAAAGGTACGGCGTGCAAAGCTCTCTGCTGAAGGCCTCAGATCGCTCCTCGGGGCCCCTACTTGGCGCGCCTTGTATGGTTGATCGCCGGTGTTTCAGAGGATTTGCCGCTTGCTGTGTCTGTCTTCTGAGGCTTTGAAGTCCGCTCGCCCCTGCTGCCTGACGACTCCCGCGCAGGGAGATCCAGAGCGTGCAGGGACGCGCAAGGATTCAATTGGTAGCGAATTAGTTGCATACGAGGAGACTCCGTGCCATGGACAGGCTCGCAGCCGCTGTGGGGGCCCTCCTGCTGCTGAGCTGCGCCGCTGCAGGCAAGTTATGCAGACAGCCAGTGATGCATGCGGCGTGTGCAGCGGTGGCGTTTGCTTAATTGAGAGTATAACTGACCATGCGTTGCAGCACACGATGTGCATACCCCCATGCCAGCTAACGCACCCTGTGCCAGATCTTCAAAGGTTTGACCCTGCCTGCCTTCACGCATCCCAAAACATGGCTCGCAGCCAGCGATAGATGCAGCGACGTTATCACGGGCTACTCGGCAACCTACGGCACGCGTATCACCACCAAGACGGAGCGTTTCAGCAACCAGACCGGCCAGTGGAAGGCCAAGGGTGCCATCACTGTGAGCGATGGTTCTCTTCAACCCAGCGTTGCCACGCCACCCCGTGCATGCTCGAAATATGCCATGCCTGACGCGGCCTGGACGCCATTCCCCCACAGAAAATCAACGCCTACTATGACCCCAGTACACAGTGCGTGCAGGGTATCAAGGTGACCTATGGTAAGCACATGGCTCAGCACCTCCAGAGGGCCATGCATGGGCCACCATGCTTTCACATGGGCTCACGTGCGCATATTTGCTGCATGCATGCCGCTTTGCCCTTTGCCTGGACAACATTGACCCTTTTTACCCTTGATGCGGACGACCCTCGCCCACCCCTGCTCGCAATCACCGTCGCAATCGCAGGCCCACTCGCCGCCAATGCGCTGCTTTTGGGGAAGCAGGCGGGCCTGACCTCTCGTGACCTGACGCTCACCACTGGGGAGGTCTTCAACCAGGTCCAGGTCAAGGCCGGCTCGTGAGTCGATTCCTGGGGTCGCCACAAGCATGCACAACAGGGGGGCTGATTGCCTGCTGCTGCTGAGCAGTGCACGAGCCCTAAGCACCGCTCCTGCCCATATGCAGTGCGCCTGCTCTGGAGCCGATCCCACATGCGCGCATTTTCCCACCCACCCCATACATACAGGTGCATCGAGTACGTGCGCTTTGCGACCAACAAGAGCCGCGCCCTATCCACAGGCAACAGCGCCAGCATGTCGGAACTGCGTACCACCTACCCAAACAAGCGCACAGGCTATCTTGCGGCCCTCCGGTGCGCACCGATCCTGTTGACTGTCCGGGATCACCAAACGCCGGATTCCTCCTGCACGCGCCTGCGACATGGGCGCAACGCATGCGTTGGTGGGTTGATGATAACCTCCATCCTGCATACCATTCGCCCTGCCTGCATCGTGACTGTTCACCAGGGGTTATGAGGCGTACTCGAAGTACGCAAACGGCACGATCGTGCGCGGCCCGATGGACACGCTGCAAATCGTCTGGGCCACCTGCCAGTCACTGACTTCTGCCTCAGGTGCGGGCGAAGGGGGGATTCCGCCAGAGCACGTAGCCAGCACAAGGCAACGCACCAAAGTTTGGATTGCATGCTGGGTGGCACACACTACATGTTTCAATAGAATCCTGGACGACTGCAAATGCGCATGTCCGCCCAACTACCCCTCCCCAGCAGCTCCGCCGCCATCGCCATCCCCAGCTGCCACCGCCGTGGTCGTGCCGCGCCCCGCCGAGCCTGCCATGCCCAAATGCCCATCGATTCTGGGCATGTGCAACCCATCTGCCGCATCCACGAGTGGCGCATACTGCGTGATCAAGTCGCCGTTTATCAAGCGCACATGTGTGGGCGGCTGCTGCGCGTCGAGTGGCCGCTGCGCCAGCACCAGCTGCGGCGGCGCCGGCATCGGCAAGGAGGTCGCCAACACCATGTGCTACGGCCTCAACGCGCCGGGTGCTATCGGCGTGAGCGCAAAGTGCGCGGGCCTGGCCTGCTGGCTGGCAGTGCCCGGCTGCACCAGCAGCCAGCAGACCGGCGCTTGCGTGGGCACGGTCGTGGACTTCTATGGCACTGTCGCCACCACCAACGCCGCGGGCGCGGCTATGGTTGGCTATCCGTGCCTGGACGTCTCGACAGCCAACGCCACCCTGGACAATGATGGCACGGAGGTTCAGGTAAGCCAGGGGTATCATTGGTTGCTGCGGTGCAAGGTCTAAGGAGGAGGTGGCTGGTCCTGAAGCTGAGACGGTCTGTCCCCTTTGGCAAATACAGATGACCACGTCCAGCGCACGCGTCCTGCACCTGATGTTCACGCGTCATACCAAGGGGCCGCCAAGGGCCGACCCACCCACCCACCCAACGCGTCCTACCCCGCAGTACGGCCAGTTTGCGGCCAAGCTGTGGACAGTGTGCGACTGCAACGCCTCTGCCGTCGTCGTCACCGACGCGTCCGCGGCCACCACGCTCGGCCAGATGCTCAACATCACCAGCCTGGCCGACCTGGTGACGGCCGCGATCAAGGGCGTGAACGCCAGCCACCCGCTGCAGTCCGTGCTCGACGCCGTCAGGGCGGAGGTCCCCGCGCTGGTCGTGCCGCGGTTCTCTGCGGCCAACCTGACCAACGCGCTGGGCTTCCTCGGCTCTCTCGTTGGCAACGGTAGCAGCACGGCGGGCGCCGCGGCGACGCCGCTGGCGGCGGTGGTCAACCTGGTCAAGGGCGCGGGCGTGCTGTCGGCCGCCGCCAACTCGTCCAACCCGCTGGGCGCCGTGCTGAATGCTCTGGGGGCCGGGCCCAACAACGCGACTAACCCGCTGGTTGGCCTGGCCAAGCTCGTGTCGGCGCTCTCGCCCTCGGTGAGCCTCTCCCGCCCGCAGACTGGGGCGAATTCGAGGGAGTTGCTGCATCACAGGGGTGCGTGAGTGGATTTTTGCAGGCTGTGCCAGTCCCCGTGTGCTTGCCCATCATGGAGGCTGCTGTCCTCTAGCACGCACTCTACGCGCCCTCATTTTGCTTTGCATTTAATGTGCGCTCCTGTCTGACATGCACGCATATGTCCACCCCTGACCCCGCCAGGACGCCGACACCACCGACAAGTCGGACGTGCTGAGCGCCATCCTTGGCGCGATCAAGACCAGCACCGGCGCGTCTCCCGCCACCGCCATCCTAGGCGCCGTCACGAGCGTCATCGCCGGCGGCGAGGCGGCCAGGTTCAACGTGACAGGCCTCCTGAAGAACTTCCACGTCGGTGCCACCAACGCCTCCACAGTCGTCGCCACAATCAAGGCGGCCGTCGCCGACGCGAAGGTGCGCCGCGCATGCACGCCTGCTAGGCAAAAGGACTTCACTTGTCCCACTTCCCTTGCTCTGGTTCCCGTCTCCTGAATGCCAGGGTTGACAGCTGCTGCCCCGTGCATGACCTGACAGCTCGACCCCGCACGAATACAAACACAACCTTTCCAGGCGGCCACAGTCGGCAAGGTCGACCTGGCCAGCGTACTTAAGCAGCTGCAGTCCTTCATCGGCGGTGGGAAGACCACCAGCACCGCC